AGATCATGGGGTTGTGATCCCCCTTCTTTCCGGTCTCGTTCTCTTCCCATTTCGCCCACAACTTGATGATGTGGGCCACGTGTCCCATTCCTCCCTTGGACTGGGTCACCTTGATCTATCCCATGTTTGGGCCGTCTTCCTTTACTTGCCATATGCGAGATAACGGGCTTGGCCCGTCATCCCCATCTGATCTTATTCCTTTTGGGCTATTATGGGCCTTCATTTGGGCCTGGAGTCGGGTCTACCAGACCCGATATCCATCACAAGCCCCCTAGTTTTCTGGCGACGTGTCGCTAGAAAACTAATGATGAGCCGCCTTCGATATTCGTGTCGGATTAGAAACGTCGCACTCGAGTACCTCGGGTCCACCCTTTCAACGGATAAAAACCCTCTTCTGGACTCATCTTCTTCCTCTCGCTACTGAATCTTAACCCGACCCGAATTCCAACTGCAATTTCCCCAAAATCCTTGTCTCCTTTTCCGGAATGGCCCTTACAAATCCTGAAACCTGGACCCATGGACCCTCCATTATCAAGGAGAACGAAATTCGAGAGATGGCCGTGCTCCTGGGCAAGGGCTTCCGGGTCCACCATCCCGATGCCGTTGGGGGGATTAGTCTATCCTACAATCCAAATCCCTAGAAATATATGGTCATGCAGTACCACTCCGTAGAGAATGGATTTAGGTTGCCCCTCCACGGCCTGCTTCGCGATCTCTGCCTCCACTTCGGATTTGCCCCGAGTCAACTGACCGCCAACGCACACAAGTATGTCGCGTCCTTCATCTTGAGGTGTTGTGCCCTGGACAGAGCCCCAAATTTGGAGGAATTCCTTATGCTCTTCAGTATTGGGGGGTTCCCTTTCTACAGCCTATACCCCCATAACCACTTTCCCATTTTCGAGAAGGTTGAGCTCAAGATCGACAAATGGTCATTGAAATACTTTGTTATTGAGTTTCCGGTTCACAGCCCCATTGACCTACCGGGTGTTGTCCTCCGCCGTTCCATTTCCCGGACGAAATTCGCCGCAGCAGACTTAGCGTAGGGAGTGTATAATGCCTTGAGGGAGAAGGAGGGTTTAATTTCCCACCACTCTCTCCAAGATGCTAAACTGTACAAGAAGGCAGGTTTTTACTACCCCCTGGGTCCAGACCCGATTCCCTTTGAAGAGGTGCCTTCTCCTGAGAAATCGAAGGTTCCTTCTGCTGCAGAGTCTATCCCGGCTGCAAGCTCTCCTGGAAGTCGGTCCCAAGGCGGTTCCACTACCTTGGTTGTGCGCAATCCGGCCGCTGCCCTGGACGTTGTTCCTCTCTCCGCCATCCCCGGGCTCAGGAGGCCCACTCCGTCCCAGAAACGGCCACGGGAAGGTGTCTCCGATGATGATTTCCTTCCCAAAAAGAACAAGGGCGACGGTACTTCTGTTTCGCCTAGCCCCCTGTCCACTTCTTCCGGTACCCAGAATACCACTCCTGCTACTACATCCGGGGTCTTGGAATTATCCCACCCGGATAGACTTGATTGTGAGGAAGAAGAGCCTAGGGACCAGTCTGCTCTCAGGAAACCCATAACGCAGCCCCAGACTGAGGCGCCCGGTTCCTCGCCACACGTCGCAACCAGTCCCCAAGTAATGGAGGAAGAAGGGATGAGGCAGAAAGAACCAGAGTCTTCCCCTACAACAGAGAGGGAGGTTAAGTGCAGACAGAAACGAAAGTCTCCCACCCGGAGGAGGATGAGACCGGAGAGCAGGGGGACGCTGAAGCTCCTTCAGAGATGGAGAGAGAGACTGAAAGACAATCAGAGCCGGAGGGACAGTGCTCCACGGCCACATTCCCGGCCCATAGTATCCCCATCCGGCGCAAGTTCACGCCGCAAACTTACCCCGCTTTCGCAGAGGGTTGTGAAGGCTTTTCCCGCAGTTTGAGATCCTTACAAGCTTCCCATTGGACTATCCAGGGGAATCTAGAAAGGATGAGGGGATCAGTGCAGGAACCCACAATTCCCCAAGCTCGCCCTGATCTGCTTGCCCTCAATGCCATGCACCTCATGGAAAAGGTACCCTTCCTTTTCAACAATCTCTTTACCACTTTCTGGGTTAGTTCTTTTCCTTGACTTCCCTTTCCTTCTTTCAGGCCCAGCAATCACTCCTTACTTTGACTGAGGAGTACCTGGGTGGAGCATCAGGGAACTTTCGGACTGTTGTGCTCCTGAGGGAGAGGGAACTGGCTGCCAGGGCCTTACAACAGAAGGTCGACTCCCTAGAACAACGGGTCCGGGTCCTGCAAGAAGAGAATGCTCGGCTCAAGGCAGATGGCTCAATGGAGCTGGCAGCTGAGAGATCCAAGGTCCAGTCCTTACAAGAGCAGATTGCCAACTATCAAAAAGAAACCCAGGATCTGGAAGTGCAGTTCGACAGATTCCGGGCACAGATTTCCATCCTGGAATCCAGGGTCTCGGCTTCAGAAGACCAGGTAGGAAGCCTGAAAGCTGAGCTGGTTGAAAGGGAATCCCGGATCTCTGAGCTAGAGAATTCCCTCCAAGAGGCCAAGTATGAGGGTTCCCGCCTTAACGAGCTTGCACTGAAGCACATGGAGGCGAGACGGCTTGACCTCGAGAAGTTGAAGAGAGAGAGACAGGCTGCAAGTGAGCTCCGGTCAAAGGTGGATGAACAGGAGAAGACGATTGCCGCTCATCAAGAGGAGGTGGCCACCCTAGTTGCTCGTGCCAGAGCCCTCTACGAAGAGGGACAATTCGACATGCAGCAATGCATCTACGGGGCAGTCCAGAGTGGTCTCCCAGAGAACCGCACTTTGGATGACTTCATCTCCTACTATGGGTTACCCCTTCCTCTTTCTCCCCCAGTCTCTCGTGCAAACCCGGGACCTTGACTTCATCTTCCTCTGTTGACTGTTATATTTTGCCTTGTAATTATTTGGATGATAGTAAATTGATAAACCTGATGTATTCTTGTCCATGTAGACTTCTTTCGTAAATCTGACTGTTCTTCCTTTTGGAACTCCTTGTTTCGCCCTAGCACTTAGCAGATTTTTTTTTATCCGCCTAGGCTTTGGGCCTAACCGCATCCATAATGTACTGTTTCCTTTGTTTATCATCGCACTAAGTGTCTGACCCACCTTAATTACGCCGGGCCCAATTCACCTTAGCCCAATAATAAGATGATGGAACCCTAGCTTTCCTCGGGAATCCGCAACTCCCTCCCAATCGGATAAGCGCTTTGACTCCTCGTCCCTTGCACTTCTCCTTCGGGATCACTCGCCTATTTAAGGGACTAGGCTGAACCCCCTCAATATCACAATCAATTTCTCAACATGGCTAATAACGCCAATAGAGTGGTCTTTATTGATCTTTCTATTTCTGATTCTTCTTTGTTGGCATTCCCTTCACTTGGGTCCCCAACTCCTGAACTTTCTTCCGGGTCTTCTCTTGCCTCTGAACAATCGGTAACTTCTCCCTTACCTAGGGAGGAGAATCACCCTCATCTTCCCCCACGGGTATCCGGGGATATTCTCCTGGGTTCCGGCATGCTTTCAAACGGGGCCAGGACGGAGGTATCTTCTGGCTATCCTGGCACGTCCCGTCCGCAGAAGAGACGCAATCCTCACTCAGGAGCTTCCCGGTCGGTCTCTGGTACGAGGCCTTCCTCCCAGGGTCCTCCCTTCCCTCAGCAGTCCTATGGGCAGCAGCCCGAGGAGTGGGGGGACTACGACATGGGGGGAAACAGGCTCACATCTATACGGAGGGAGAAGGATGGGGCCTTCCGGGATCTGCCTCCTCCTCCCGTATAAGCGGAGATAGGCCTGAAGTCTTTCCCTCATGCCCTAGCGGTCCCTCCGCCCGCCTTCATGGGAATGACCAGATGGCATCCACGGGGATGGCGTTCAATCCCAACCCGTTGGTTCCATCCTACTTCTTGTGAATATCATGGAGTGTCTTCGGCGGACACTCTCCATGTCTTTCCTGCCTTGGGGTTCTCTTCTGGTTCAGGCAGAGGATCCGGAGTCAGCAAACGCACCCCTTCAAATTTCGAAAGTGCCGATCCGCGTCGGCCCCAGCCTTTTCTTGTAGTAGAATAGAAGTAGATCAGGGACAAAGTTCATTACTGTAACTCAAAAGAATGTAACCTTCCGTTTGAGTTATTTAATGAAAATCTTTATCTCCCGCCTCTTTTTTGTTTCGTAGTTAGATCAGGGATAAGGCCCATTACTGTAACCCAAAAGAATGTAATCTTCTGTTTGAGCCATTTAATGGAAAAACCTTTATCTCCGGTCATTTAATATAATCTCGTTGCACGTGCCGTCATCTGCATGAAGTAGAAGTCTAAGTATATTTAACTCCTTACCTTCCACGGACGACGTCACTCCCTAAGCGCAGATGGGCCCACTTAACTAGCCCATGCACTTAAGTGGCGAGAGACCCCTGGTCAAACATTGGAAATCTTCGACCGCTTCCTTTGCTAATCGCTCAGTTTCTCACGTCTTTTAATTGCATTCATCAATTCCCAACTATCCCTTCCCCTTTGACTATAAAATGGGAAAGGGCAATTAGCTGCCAGTCCATCACTTTCTGACTTCTTCGTCATGGCAAGTAAGTCTGAGGGCAAAGTCGTCATCGACTCAACCCTCTCTGGGACGTCTTCTCCTCCAGGTGATGAGTTCTCCGTCTCTCCGGCCCAATCCAACGACATGGCTGGGTTGAGTCCCAGCGAGTTCTCGAGACTCTACCCGGCACCTCGTCTTCCTGCACCATCCCCTCCCAGTCCACCCAGGCTTCCATCCGGAGGGATTGACTGGGACTCTATGACCCTCTAAGACTTCGCCTTGTACCAGAGGATGTGTAGGGCCAAACTTGGATGTACTCTGCCAACTGTTGAGGCGGAACCTTCATGTGAAAGTAGGACTGCTTCTCCAAACCCGCTGAAGCCTTCCAGCAATGGTTCTTCATTGAAGGGAGCAGCCCCTTGTCCTGGAACATGGGAAGACTATGGCATATGGGAAGCCGCTGGTTCATCAACGTGTCCCTCGTCAAAGAGAAGGAGCCCATGGAAGGGTCCCCCACCTCCTTGTTGTTGACTGCATGGATGCAATAGGCCCTCCTTCAGTTCCTAGCCTCCTGCAAATCAAATTTCTTTTCCTTGTTTTGTATCAAGGGGCATTCACTTGCTTGGTCCAGAGGTTTTCCCCGCATCCCAAGCTAAGGAATGTTCCTTAAAATTGTATTTCACTAGGAACCTTTATTGTGAACCAAAAAATGTAAACTTTGGCCCATCAATACGGTCCTTAATGATCATTTCTTTGCACCTCTTCAAATGCAAGTACATAACTCATTCTCTATATTAAATCTCATCTCCCGGGGTTTGGGCAGGCCTGGGGCACTTTTCGCACCTGCACCTGACCTCCCCTTGCTCCGGGTTAAGGCATAATCTTATCTACCTTGGATCAGTTGAGCTCCAACCCTCGAAGTTTGTTTGCTCGGTTGATCTATGCTAGTGGAATACTAAGCTTCAGCCCTCGAAGTCTGCTTGCTATTTTCCTGAATTCCGGGTTGTAGTGGCCCTCGAAGTCCAATCCCAGCCCTTCCTTCATTTTTGACGGAGGCATAAACTTCTCTACCTCCGGGGGGCATCAACTTATCTACCTCCCCTATTTTTAGCCGGTGGCATAAACTTTTCTACCTCCCTGTGATACAGGTCTATATCGCCCGGGGGTGCTTCCCCCCCCCCTTTTTTTTCTTTTTTTTTAAGAAATCTACAGAACAATGAAATTGTAAAGGCACTTGGCATTAAAAGAAAAATTTTACTGAAACAAGCATCTTAAATTGAAAAATAGAGCATTTTTACAAAATGATTCACTGATAAAACTTGACCAAGTGCTCTACATTCCATGTCCTATCAATTTCTTTTCCCTTGGGAGTCACCAACTTGTAGGTACCTGGGCGAACAACGGCCTTGATGATATAAGGTCCTTCGTACTTCTTAGCCAGCTTCCCACCCTTAGTTGGTTGACTTTTCTCTCGTTTTCTCAGAACCTAATCCCCCACCTGAAATGCCCTTGGTTTCACCTTGCTATCAAAGTAAGATTTAACCTGGTGACGATAATTCTCTGCCCGGATTCGAGCCTCATCCATTCGTTCTTCTACGAAATTCAGCTCTACGGCCTGATTCTGTTCGTTCACCTCCAGATCATATTCCATTTCTCTCCTGGTGGGGATTACTACCTCAGCGGGAGCCCGGGCTTCAAAACCATAAGCCAAGCCAAAAGGAGTGTCACCCGTGGCTCTCCTTGGAGTGGTCCTATATGTCCACAGGATTCTGGGTAGTTCATCTACCCATTTGCTTCCTTCTGAAAGTAGCTTCTTTTTTATTCCGTCTATGATTGTTCTGTTGACGTTCTCCACTTGTCCATTAGCCTGTGGGTACGCAACACACCTTCGTGTGCTGAATTCCCCAAGTTTTGAGGAAGTCTTGAAACTCTGCTTCCTCAAACTGGGTTCCATTGTCTGATATGATCTGCTTTGGGACCCCGAATCTACAGAGTATATTGGTTCCGACGAAGTCGATCATCTGCCTTCCGGTGATCCCTGCAAGTGGCTCAACCTCAACCCACTTTGTGAAATAGTCTATCGCCACCACAATCCACCTTGCCTGCCCAGCTCCTCTTGGCAGGGCTCCCACAATATCGATCCCCCATCTCGAAAAGGGAATCACAGAGCTGATGGGTGTGTAGTTCGTGGCTGGCCTCCCGGGTATATTCTGGAATTGTTGGCAGGTCGGGCACTTGCGTACATATTCTTCGCAATCCTTTCTCATCGTTGGCCAGAAATACCCCTGGATAATAGCCCTTCTGGAAATGGAGTAAGGACCCAGATGTGCAGCACACACTCCTTCATGTATTTCCTCCATCAATGCCCTCGCCTCTGCTGCTCTGAGGCAACGGAGTAGAACACCGTTATAAGACCGCTTATAAAGGACTCCGTCCTGCACCTTGTAGGTTGGCGCCCTCATTCGTAATAGACGTGCTTCCTGGGGATCCTCCGGGGCTTCACCGTCCTCAATATATTTGGCCAACCGGTCCAGCCATTCCGGGGGATCAGCTGATACCCAGATCACTTCGCTGCTATTAAGACTAGGGGTTACCAGCTCTTCAATGGTTGCTAACTTGCTTATGTACTCCGGTGACTCTGCGCTGAGCTTGGAGAGAACATCAGCCTCCTCATTCTGGGCCCGGGGAATATGTTCAAGCTTAAACTCAAACCTTCCCAACATCTCTAAGGCCAAGTCCCGGTATCTTTTCATCCTCTCTTCCTTTGCTTCAAACTCCCCCGTGATTTGTCCCACCACTAGTCGGGAGTCGCTGTAGACCTGAACCCTGGAAACTCCCATCTTACTAAGAATCTTCAATCCATTGATCAGGGCCTCATATTCGGCTTCGTTATTGGACACGCGGAACTGAAATCTGATAGCGTAATAAATCCAGAATTTTTCTGGGGTAATCAAGACGATACCTGCTCCGCAAGATCGAGACCCAGAAGATCCATCGATGCTCATTATCCACTAGTCCTTTTCCATCCGGGTTTAAGTCTGGTTTCTTGTTACCTCTCTAGCAGTGCACTCAACTTGGAAGTCAGCAAGTGCTTGTCCCTTGATAGATGGGCGCGGTCTGAACTCCACGTTATACTAACTGATGAAGACTGCCCATTTGGTCATCCGGGCATACGCTGTCGGGCTTTGGGTAAGTGACGCCAATGGCTCATTCGTAAGCACAACAATTCGGTGGGCCTGAAAGTACGGGGTTAACCTCTTCGCTGTCCAGAAGACCGCCAACATAGCTTTTTCCGGACGGGAATACCTCAACTCCGCATCTCTCAGGGTCTTGCTGATGTAGTAGACCGGATGTTGGGCCCCATTCTCTTCTCTCACGATCACAGTACTTATAGCACAATCC